GGGGGGGCTCTGGAAGTTGCGTTGTGATTAAGCTGTGTTTGGTTGTCAATTTTTTATGCGGAGAGATGGAGATTCTGCCATTCTGGACTTCTTACCATGGTGGGTCCCACTGCGTATTTTAGTGTGCTCAAGGTAGCAATTATTTTACGCGTAATCACTTTTTTTAAAAAGATCAAAAACATCCCCGGATTATAGTAATGGAGCAGGTTCAAATGTACCTTTGTAACCAAAAAGATGATGTTTGATCTTCTCAGACTCGATTAGACGTTCACTGAGAGAAGTAAATTGAAAATATAAATACTTCAGGGATTAAGGAGATTACTTCACCTTTTCAATTAAAATACTGTGTTTTATATTTAACAGATATTATTTTCAAGATAATATATTGGAGAATTAAAAAAGAGTTAAAAATTAAAATTTACATATATACTCTCTCGGTTCCAAAAATAATGTCACACTTCCATATTCAAAAAATCACAAGAATTTTTTTGTTTATTTGTATGTTTTCATCATTGATTACCTCAATATTTGATAGAATAAAATATTATTATCACCTTTTGTTTTATAGAACTTTTGATGTAGATTATAAACATGTAAACTTTATTTTTTTTATTATATACTAATCTGTAAATAAAATGAATTGAAAAGAACTTAAAATTTTACTTGGTTTTAAGTGAAGTTCCATTCTTTCCTTTTTAGGACGGATGAGTATTTAAAAACTATATCAAAATTTCAACAAAACAAAAGGTGACATGAGTATTAATGTATTATATAATCACAAAAAAATAAAAAAAAATAAATAAAATTTAATCATATGAAAAATAAATAGAAGCACGTGTGAAAATAAATGTGGCATTGATGTCAAGCACGGGTGGATTGGTGGTTACTTTGTTATTTTAAACAGTTTCTAGCACTTCTCAACCTCATTTCAAACTAATATCAACCTCTTGAGGGAAGGGATGTGGCTCAAACACTCATGGGTACAAGTTTGGAGTTGCTTCCTTGTTACAACGCCAACATACTTCCACTTTAATAGAATTGTTTAGTAAAACAATTATATCTTAGGATTCTTAGCTTAAAAAATTCTAAACAACCTACAATAAAGATGTTCTAAGAGTCTATTCTTTAGAATTAAAAAAATTGTTATTGGAAAGAATTGAAAGAAAATTTAAAAAAAAAACTAAGAAAAGTTGGAAAAATGGAAAGGAATTGAAAAATATTAAGAAAAAATAAAAAAAATGATGAAACCATTAAACTCTCAACTTCTAGATTTTTTCAGTTATTTTCACCTTTTTCCAATCTATTCTAACTTTTCTAATTTTTTGAGTTGCTTCCAATTTTTTTTAGGTTTTTCAACTATTCATATTTTTCTTCAAACACTTTTTGGATGCTTCAAACAATAACTCTAAAAATGATGTACTTTTTCATGTGATTATTATTATTGTTGTTGTTGTTATTATTATTATCATTATTATTTGTTATTATTACTACTACTATTATTATGTTCATAACAATAGATTATAAATTATTTCAATTTGTATGTTTTTATTTTTTTTCTCATGTCACTATTTTTGTGATTTGCTACATATACGGAGTACTATTTTTCTTCCACATTTTAATATAAATAGTACAATTTTTTTGTTTATTAATTTATGTGATACTAACTTATATTCCAACAATTATGGATAAAGGAGCTAATTAGTATTAATTTAAACTAACTTGTGGGAAATATCACTATTAAGAATTTTAAAAAAATATTTATACTACTACAACATGCAGAAGAAAAAATGACATAATAGTATGCAGAACAAAATAAGTTTGAATGACAAAAAATGTAACTAATAAATAAAATAGAGAGATTTTGAACATGTCTATTATAATATTTATTTCAACATTTTTCATTTTTGTTATTTCAATAGTATAATATTTATTTCAACTGTTTTTATCTTTTTCAATATTTTCCAACTTCTTCTAATATTTCCCGACTATTTTTAGCTTTTTCCAGTTTTTTTCATTTCCTTCATGTTTTTTCCCAATTTTTGTGGGTTTTCGAGTTCCTTTTATTTTTTTCAAGTTTCTTTCAATTTTTTTAGTTTCTTTCAATATTTTTCAATTTCTTGCAACATCGAACTTTTTTCATTTGATTTGTAAAAAGAAAACAAGATTTTGGAAGAAATTTAAAAAAGTTAGAAGAAAATTAGACAACACTATTACCATCAATATGGGTGGGTAAACAGATTCTGGAACTATGAGTCGAAACAGAATTGCATGGTTCGGGCGAGTTAGGGCCTAGTCCAAAATTTTATCTTTAAAAACACGTCGGGCCAGGGCAAGTCCATTAGCAAAACAAGTTGGGCGAGTTACTAACATTTAGAAAGAAGTAGACCGGCCGTTTCTTATCATTTCATAAAATTATAAATATACAAAGTATTAAATAAATTAAAATATACTCCGCGTTGCATTTTAGTCTTTTCATCAAATTATATAAATAAATAAGTTATATATGGCATATTCAATATTCTATTAATAAAATTATATATGTGTGTGTGTGTAACATAATTAGTTAAATTTTAGTCATCAATCACATTTTTTCTTATATGTTTTACAAATTTAATTAGTGAAAATCCTGTATTGATTGAATATTACTTCCCCAGTCCGCCATAGATCTTTTGGGACTATTCATAAGGTCAAATTTAACTTTGGTTTATTTTACTACTCATTTCATAAAATATAGTCTTTTCACCTTTAGTTTTGTAGATCATTTCATGTATCTTTTTACTATATAAAATTTTATATTTTAATTTTTACTCCTATAATTGAATAAGCTGAATTGAAATTAAAGCCGGTCAACACTCGTAATGTGTAATGGGAAGATCTTAGGTGGACATAGAAAGTATAACTTATTTTTATTTCGTTTATAAAAATCATTGATTAATTTAAAAAAAGTGTATTATTCTATTGATTATTCTCATATACGTTGTTTATTTGTTTATGTTATATGGGTAAAGGTCAAGTGACATTGGACTTCAATGTCATGGGATGACCCGGGGGCGCTCCGGTGCCCCGTTCGTAAAATTGAAGGTTCCTACCCCCTCTAACCCCCCGGCAAACCCCCTACCCGGCCCCGACCCGAACACACCTCCCCACCCCTTTCAATTGCACTCCACAAGTTGATTGGGACGGGTCCTATGAAAAAGCGGCCCGATTCAACCCATTCCCACCCCTAAACCACAGTACCTCAAAGGCTCCCGCTGATTGCAGGTAAGAGGGGTTGAATGTATGCATGTAGTCTGACCTTGATGTTTAAAACAAAAAGTAAGTTAGTAGGAAAAAATGAGTTAAAAATTGGAAAGAATCGGAAGAAAATAGAAAAAGAAATAAATAAACAAACTTCAAAGAGTTGGAAGAAAACATAAAAAGTTAAAGGAATGAATTGAATTAGAATAAACTCGAAAAAGCTTAAGGAATTTAATAAAAGTTAAAAATGCTGAAAAAAACAAGTGTTGAAATGAATATTACTCATTATATATGTAATTTCATACTTTAATTAAAATAAATTAATAAAACAATCTATACTTTCATTTATTGATCAATTTTTTCTTTGGTCACACTATCATGTGTAAAATAATGTTTTTGCGACACAAATATATTGTTATTTTTTCTGATACTTTTTATTGAATAATCAGAATAATTGTATTGATTGAGAATATTGAAAGATACATCAGAGTAAAGAAGAGATTTCTAACATACTTAGGAGCCAAATATAGAAGTTAACTAAAATTTTACCATAATCAATTCTGACTATTCTTAATTGTCTAACAATCTTCTCAAGCTGAACGTCGTGTCACAAGCGAAAGCTTAGACAGAAATGTCAAAACATGCGGCTTCGACACTGGTTTAGTGAGCAAATCAATAAGTTGATTGATCTTTAGAGAAAACATGTGAAACATGCATAGTGCCAGCAATGATTTGTTCATGAACAAAATGACAATTTGTACCCACGTGCTTCATACGTTTATGAAAAATAGAATTTTAGTGAGACATATGGTAGATTGAATATCATTAAGAAAAAGTTGTTGAGGAGAGACGAGTATACGCAAATCATGAAAAACATTAATGTGCTACATCACTTATGAGGCTGCGGATGATGGTGCTCTATACTAAGCTTCGGTTGGGGATTTTTGACACATGAGTTTGCTTCTCTGTACTCCAGGATATCATTTTATGATCAAGAGAAACAAGATAACATGTGAAGGAGCGCCCATCTGTCATATCATTTGCCTAATCAGAGTCTGAATATGCCCGTAGTTGGAGGTCGCTATAATTAACACAAGACCTTTGTAAATTGTCCCTTTTGTGAACCGTAGAATCCGCTTCAAATTTTAGAAGTCATTTTCTGTATGGGTATGGATGTGTCGATAGACATAATTCACGACAAATTGAATCTCAGGCCAAGTAGTGGTGAGATATTGAAGACTTCCAACCAGACCTCAAGACAATGTAGAATTAGCAAATGGTTCGGCCTTCATCATAACAGTGAAGAAAGAAAAAAAGAAACTAGAAAATCAACAAAAAATGAGCTTCGATGAAAAAAGAAAGCAAGAATTGAAAATAAGAAAGTAAAATACAATAATAGAAAAAAGGAAATCAAAAGAATAATAATATGTTTTAGAGAAAAAGGCAAATGAATAAATGAAGGGAATTTGTTAGATAGTGATACAAAAAGTTCATAGTCTGTATTTTTTGGCCAAATAGAATAAAAAAAATAAAGACATTTAGTTTGTTAGACTGAAAATAAATATGTTTAGTTTGAGACAAATAAAATATACATCAAC